AGGAGAGCGGCGAACCGCGCGATGGGGAACGTTCTCTCGGCTGCTGTGCATTATTCAGAGCTGCTGCATACTGCACAGTCTCCTGCAGTTCGAGGTACTTGCGTTTATAGTAATTGCGTTCCACCACTACTCGTGCCATCTCGCGTCGCGTGAAGCGAACTGAATTGGCCCCAGTCTGTGCGGAAAGACAGGAATGGCAGGTTCGGATAACTTTTGAGTTCTATACAATAGGAGCGGTGGGAAAAAGTGCACAAATACAACAAAAAAGAAAAAAAATCCTACGAGGTGTAAAGTGGAACCTCGGTAAATGAGTTTAATCCGTTCCAGCAACGAGCTCGTCACCTGAAACACTCGTCTTGCGAAGCGTAGCCAATCAAATTGCACTAGTTCACCGATTGGCTATAAGCGGCAGAGGACTTAGGCCCTGAAAGCAAGACTCAACGGCGGATACGGGCACACACACACTGACAGATCGTTATCTGAGCGGAAGTTCGTCACTTGAAACAAATTTTCTGCGAGTGGTTCGCTCGTTACCTGAACTGCTCGTAGATGGCTCTGCTCGTCACCTGGGCTCCACTATAAGCCCTTCTCACGCCTGGTTCGGAGCTGGACAACTTGACTGTCCTCGGTGACTTCAAGGTCATAGAAGGCACCAACCACGTCAACTGACAAGGGGTGTTCGGGTGTCACGGAATAGACCAATGTAAGACTAACCAACTCTGTATGACGATTATTTACGCGGATTTCCTTGTTATCGGTGCCATCCTCTTTGACTTCCAAATCATCAATCGCAGCTGACCAACTGTGGCAACGTCAGGAGACGTAATTATCGAAACGCGCAGGCAATAAGAGCTGAGAAGGGTGTTGAATGGTAGGACCTGCTCGTCAAGAAAATTACAATGCGAATTCGACCACGGCGGAACACATTAAAATTAGCATGGGCACGCGAGTTCTGGCTAAATGCTAAACAAACTGATAACTGATAAACATTGCCAACAAAGTCAAGGTAGACGGAAATGGCAATTTCTGGCTTACTAATCGCTATCAGCTAGTCATACCCAACCCCAGATGGTGCACCACCTGCAAGCCCTGGGAGGCTGAAGGGGTTCAGCAGAACTGGCACAAATTAAGGAATTCATCCACGCCATTTTTACCGAAGTCAGTGGACCTGTATGCCGAAAACACCGGAGCTATTCCAAGCAAAAATGATAGTGAGATAAAGCAACTGATGTGCAAAAACGACCGACTTCACATGACCTATGTGGTAAAAAACACAGGCAAAAATAAAATTGCACACGCCAAATAGGGTTGCCAACTTCAACGAAGGCTGACAAAGATACAAAATAACTGACTGGGTACTGAGTAAAATACGAGGATGTGCAGGTCAACGTGAAAGTGACAACTGCTTTGAGTTTGCTAGGGCAAGCAGGGGGCTCCTAACTCAACGCAAGTGGGCGTAGCAGCCGCTCATCTAGAGCTAATCTGTTGAGGAGAAAATTTCGGGTTCTGAAACGTGATAACGATGAGGAGGAAGAAGCTACAGGCAAACCTTCTTCCATGGAAGTTAATGCTGACTTCGACTGCCACTCTGCTTGCAGGCGTCTTAGCAGAGCAGTGCGGCAGGTGGCCAGTGGAAAATCTCGCAGTCAGCGGTCTTTATTCACACTTAGGAGACGGAGTCCTTTTCGATATTCGAAGTGAATTTCGGGAAGGCTGTTAAACCCCTGCCGATATGCAGTCCGCAGTCTAGCAACTACAGTCAGTGACCCACCTAATGAAATGCTAACATAAGTTCTGTAATGCAAGAAATGGACACGATGGTTGACATGCCTGAGGGCCGCATTCGCGTGTGCTGTATGAACGACCTGGCCCTCCAAACACAAACACCAGGATTTCACACAAAAGGAGTGAGCGCCTCACATCTCATAAGTGTTTGAATGCCAGAGGTCACTCAAGGTATCCAACAGTTCGACCGTCGGTCTCGACGACGTCCACCACGAGCTTCAACAAGCTGAAGGCAGACGCGGTGGCTGCGGCTTAATTATGGTGAGAGTAGACTCGCCGGATCTACCCCACCCCTCTCTGACCCCTCCCACGCATAAAACCAATGTCAAGACAAGGGTCGAGAAGACTGGAGATGTGGGAGGGGACAGGCGGTGTGCCAGAAGCACACTCCAACAGGCGCCACAACAACACCACTTTGCTCGGTAGGCTCCCGCGCACAGATATGCGCATACACGAAAGTACATGACACTCTACTCGAGGATACTTTTAACAGGTAGCTTGACCAGCGCACACCATCAGAAACTAACACATACCTCCCCTTGCATCATCAATCCCCCCCCCGAAAAGTTACACGTTAGAAAACATGCTACTCCTGTACGTATCGGCGCTTTCCTTTTGCCGTGCTATTGTAACCAATAGGGAATTCAAAGGCGGTCGCCTACCCCTTGAATAACAAAACTGACTGGAAGTGAACTCACCTTGGATCCTGGTTGGGCGGCATTACTGGAGGGCGTCTGACCAGCAAACTCTGGTGGTTTAGCCGCCATGGCACCAGCGGTGGCAGCGGCGGCAATGGGCAACTCCGTTCCGGACACGCCCGCGTAATTGCCGTCGGCAAAATGACGAAGATTAGAACAACTCTGTGAACGAATTCGCGCCGCACCTTGCTCTGCGTTGCTCGCCTGCTCCGACCGACGAGTGAGCGAGGAACTGCGCTTGAGAGAAGGTCCGTCGCCACTGCCATGAGAGGTAGGAGGCGGCGATGGGGAGTTCTCAGAGAGGAGACGACTGTTAAGTTGAGCCACCTCTGCCTCTAACTCGTGAATCCGGTGTGATGCCTCAGTGGCCTGCTTCTTGCGCTGATTCAGCTCTTCCAGGCAGGCATCAAGGTCGTGACGCAGCACCATATTTTCTCTGAGCAGAGTGAAGGAAACTAGCAGTGGTGGCGGTGATAGTAGTAGCAGTAATCGGAGCATAAGTAATAGTAGTAATACAGTAGTCGCCGGCTATTAAGCCCACGGCTAATAAGCCCAGCCACGTA